GTCGCTTGCAGGATGAACGTTGAGGTCGTTGATAAAAACATTGCCTATTCGCGTGAGAATCTTCGATATTTGTCAAGAGCACTTGACAAGTTCTGATCTGATTTTAACCCGTTGAACAACCAGATCCAAGCTTTGAAACCACCAAATGATCATAAAGTCCATAAATGATCATCAAAAACATTGAACTTTCTCGGTAAAAACATTGAACTTTGCATTGGGCTATTCCATTTAATATCCGTACACCCCCTGTCGAGGATACATGTTTTTTATGGTTAAACCCTGAAGAATTCCAAGCTCAAAACCTTTTACCCCTGAAGAATTCCAACCTCAAAACCCTTTACCCCTGAAGAATTCCAAGCTCAAAACCTTTTACCCCTGAGGAATTCCAAGCTGAAAACCCTTTACCCCTGAAGAATTCCAAGCTCTGAAAAATTTCAAATCAAACCTCCTTACCCCTGAAGAATTCCAAGCTCAAAACCCTTTACCCCTGAAGAATTCCAAGCTCAAAACCCTTTACCCCTGAAGAATTCCAAGCTCAAAACCCTTTACCCCTGAAGAATTCCAAGCTCAAAACACTTTACCCCTGAAGAATTCCAAGCTCAAAACCCGTTACCCCTGAAGAATTCCAGGGATCCTCGACAGGGGGGGTACGGATATTAAATGGAATAGCCCGGTCATGAGAATTGAACAGCTTTCATAATTGAAACATTTACATGATCCTTTAGTTTACTGATTTGGTCAATCATTAAAACATTTAATGGTGAAATCCAGATCAAATTAATGTTTATCTTGCATGTAAAACATTATTTCTTTCGAGAAATTCTCAAAGTTCACTCCTTGCATTTTATTACGTTTACTTCCGGCAAACTACAAAATTTTTGAAGTTCCGGCTTTGGTTTTCGCCAGGGCCTCCGGCAACGCAGTGTCAGCCGTGAGGCCCTGGGACCGAGGATGCTAGAATCCTGGGTACGAGGTTCGTGAACAAAGCCTAATTATACTGTAGTAATAATAAACTGAAGGGGGAGTCGTTCGTTCTGTGTTTAATATATTTTAGCGCAATATAAACAGTAATCTTTTTAAAATGATGATGGAGTAAACTCCGAAAGGTAGTTTTAATTAAATAGATATTAAGCCTGAACATTATCGGTCGTTAAAAAATTTAAAATGCGGTTCAAAATGTATTATTGATATTAAATTCATTTACGTTCTTAGAATCAACCTCAATTACCAACTGGAGTGAGACCTGTTATAAATGATCGAATGACGCTATCAGTCCTCGTCTGCGTTTTCTGTTGCCCACTGCTAATTGGAATTTTTGCTATCCTGAAATCGTCTGAGGTGAGGGGATGATCTCGCTTTTCCGAATGAGAAATGCAGGGCCTGCACGGAACTATAGGTTTTACTTTCTGGGACCGCAAGAGGTTTATTAGTGAAAACGTTTCTGCCGCAAAAATAATCAAGTAAATCGACACTCGGACACCGTGTGTGACACTAACAAGTTGTCATATTGATTGTTATGTTATATTTTAGCAGAAAAATCAATTTCAGTGCACCGTACTGAAAATCTTAAAGGCTCGTTTACACTTGCAATTTTCGCAGCGATTTTCTTCTTGTGATGTATGTGAACGAGTGCAGTGGATGAGCTATAAAACTCAGTTCAGATGAGGCTACAAATACTCAGAAGTCAGAACATTCGCAACTCTTCTACTGGTTCACAAGGCCAGCGAGAGGTGGGGGGGGGGGGCAAAATACCCGGGACCCGGAGTGCTCAGAGGGGCCCAGAAATCTCGTAAAATGTTCGTATTGTTTATCATCGCTTTATGTTTGTCCTAAATGAAATACGCCTACTTGCACACTATCCTCTGATCGTCGTCATCGATCGTAAAACGCACCATATGTGAAATAAACGATTTTTCGATCGTTTTCTCAGCAAAAACAGTTAGCTGAACATCGTTCACATTGCGTTTTTATCAGTTATGCGGCGATTTCTTGCAAGTAATTCGCTGGCAATTCTCTCGTTGATTGCGATTAAAAATAGCCAGCGGAAGAGTCCGAGAGGGACAGGGAGCCCGTGTTCACCAATAGTCATTTTGTACCGGGCCCCGTGGTTGGCTATTGAAATGAATATAGGCCTGACCCTAAGGTAAATACAGATGCAAAAAAAGGGCGCCATCAGGGTGATCCATGCTCTGCCAGAAAATTTTGAAAATCATGCAAGTGTCCTAGATTGGTTAAAAATGCATTTGCCATGCATTCAATATTTGTTACAGGCCCTTCGGAGGCAATTCGGAGGAACGAAGGGCATTCGCTCGAAACGTTCGAAACGAAAAGTTGCATGTTTGTATTTTTTAGGTAGTTGCATATCTCTCACACGCCCACCCCTCTTCTCGTCTCTTCACCAAAAAACAACACGGTAGTTGTATGGATATAGGTTGGGTGACTCAGTTTTGCCATAATTATATTGACATTAGATTTAGGGTTAGGACTGATCCTTCCCTGAGGGTGGGAAAGGGTATTTTCGTGAGTCGTGAATGGTCAATATTTGCCGTTTGCGTGAAATGTGAAGCGCTTGATTTTAGTCAGTCGTGAAATGTGATTTGTTCTACAGCCGTGAGGCGTGATTGTCGATGAAAGTGCTCCGTGAAATGAGAATTAAGGATGTCTGTTTCGTGAAATGTGATTTTGCTCTGTGTATTTCGATCTATTTTATAATAGTCATAATAGACATGATATGCGATAATAATTTATATGATATAAATGAGACAAGAATAAAAACTTCGGAGGCCTTTCGGAGGTCGTCGGACATACTCGTCACTCAAACTTGTAAGTTATGATGTAGTTTTTAACTGACAGGTAGAGAAGTGAGAGAACTTAAAGCGTAGATACTGTACCATGCATTAAACATACTCTAAATAAACCTATTATTATTATATTATTTTATTTTATTAGAATCTAATTTTCCGTGAAATTGTTTTTTTAAGACACGTGAATCGTTAAACGGCTTTTTTTTTTCGTTGTGAAACGTGATCCATACCCCCCCTTCCCCTTCCCACCCTCTTCCCTGAGGCTCTATTGCCAAGGCGACGTAGTTTCCTGAAGCGTGCATTTCAACACATGAACTGACAAAAGGCATTTAAAATTTTAAAACAACAACAAAATTATATGGGATTCCACTATTAGCAATATATATAGCGTGACAAAAATTCCTGCAAAGCATAAGAAAATCTCCTGCAGAGATTTTGTTAAAAATTTTCTGCCCGAGCAGCGGTGCTAGCAGACATTTCCAGCACACTTCGTCACCCTTTTTATGCTTGTAACTAAATGTCCATCCCTCTATTTCTAGGCAAGAAATCGTTACGCGGCTGGCGACTATGCCGGAGCCGTGGCGTCAGCGCGAAGAGCAAGAAACTTGGCTTTTGTCGCTGTGGTTTGTGGCTTGATCTTGATCTTGATCTTTGCTATTGCCTTGAGCGTCTGAACTAACAGCCACTACAACTAAATGTGACTTAGCCAGTTCGAAATTTCTGGCTGCGGACATTATTGGATTTTAACAGTGACTTTTTTAAATCGGTGCATTTTCGAACAAAACAAAATGAAGTAAATGACTGTATTAATCAATTACCCAGCGTAGAATTTGAAGTATAATTTATTATATTTATATAAAGAACAATGCGACAATAAACTGAAATCCGCAAGCTTTGTAAAAAAGATTGAAACGAAGTAAAACGAAGAAATAAACGAATAATGAATATACAAATTTGACATACCGAGTAATTGCGACTGAATTGAGGGGTGATGTGTAAGTAAGTGGGTGTGTGCTAATCGTCCTTACTTGCAGCTGAGAGCTAAGCTGAATTGTGAAGGACGCAGCTCAACCTGATCCAGTCGAAGACTTACTAGGGGCGCCTCTGGCAGCCACCTTATGACTCATGTCTGATCATGGAGCACAACTACGGTGGAAAGGTCAGTTAGGGGGCTAATCCTAATCCACTCTGTCAACTTCCCATATATGAGAATAATTATAACATATATGAGCTTTAGCATCACGTAATGTACCAACGGGATTGGTAATGTACCTGCCCAGGATTTCTGGGATAAAAGTCAAAGAATTATGGGTATTTACTCAGGAGAACATTTACTCACGGATTATATGTGACCAAAGATGTTTTATCACAAATATCCGCAGTGACCGAGTACTCAGGGACGAAACTTAAGGGGGGGATGTGTGTGTGTGTGTGGGGGGGGGGGGTGACACCCCCTCCCCCCTAAGCTGGATTGGCAGGGCAAATCATCTGGATTGGCAGGGCAATGAAAGATTTTAGATAGATAACTGAAACGGCAATGAAGCTAGATAACTGAAACGTTATATAGAAGTGAACATAAAGGAGGTTAATTAAGTCGTATTTGTTAGTATTCATTGACATTGCTAATCCCTCTATTTATTGTCTTTAAGTGGAATCGAATGCGTTGCATTCGGGAGGGGGATGCTAACGAACGATATTATTATATGAAGTACTTGCTATCATGACCGCTGAAATAGTCGCGCGGGCGACAAAACGTCCCGATTAATTGAACTGTCTATAAAATGTCTACACGAGATAATTCGCCACTTTATTCCAAGTCTTTAAACACAAAAATAGCCTAAATATTGTCACTTTTTGTAGTCGAAAAATATAAACTAGAACGTTCAAAACTATGTATTCAATATATACCAATGAAAACCGGAAGTGGAGATCAGTCACTGATCTCATTCATCGTTTGGATGTAGGGAATTGCGAACCTGCAATCTGCAAAATTAACCAGCCGCTGTGAGGACTGGACTAGATTTCAAGTGAGGACCATCTGAATTGGCGGATTTGAAATGAAATCTCATACGAAAACTTAAAGTGAGGTGAAATAATTTTGATCTAGTCCAAGGACTGAATTAATTTTGATCCAGTCCTAGGACTGAATCAACAAACTTCACCATGCAGGTATCCAGTATTATCATGTGAGCAAAATATAGCAATATATAAGCCTTATAAAAGTAGTTCCAAGACGTGGACCGAGTAAAGGTCAAAAGTCAGTTTAATTTAAAATGCTTCTATTTAATATATAAAAAACGTCATACCTGCGTGTAATGGCCCATACATGGGCTTCTGCCACTGACGGGACAGGTGCAGCGGTAAGGATGGTGTTGCTAGACTACAGGAAGGCATTTGATCTCATCGATCACCGGATCCTAGTTAAAAAGATCCTTTCCCTGAATGTTCCACGTAGTGTAGTTCGCTGGGTATGCGACTTTTTATCGAACAGGCTGCAACGCGTCAAACTGTCCAACGATTGCTTCTCCGAATGGGGTGCAGTTCCATCTGGAGTTCCACAGG